CATCCACCACAACTGATCCATCAGCAGTCACGCTTAGCTCTGAGCGGCCTGTGGGAATTCTGTGTCATTCAGCCCAGTCTCCACACTGGGGCCTGCCCTCATTGCTGGCCATGCTGTCAACATGTTTAGTCATTCCTGTTGGACCTAACAGTGTCCCCAGACAGCACGAGTGGCAGGCAACATACGTGGTTCATCTCTGCCAGAGAAAGAGATGCCATGAGGTATTACCTATAAGCACAAAAATAAGTCAGTTTTATGAGGAAAGAAAGTCAACTTTAAGGATGCTGCCGCTGAGTGTGATGAGGGCGACAGGAGGCAGGCTGACTTCTGAGTCAGAGCCACCATGTCGGGTGTGATGGCTGCTTAGTTGGAAGGGAAGGTGGGAAGTTAAAGGGTGGGGCACACATTGCGCACCTGTGGGTGTAGCCTCCCTCTAGGCAAAGGGAGCATCCCAGGTTCAGCAGCATCCGGGCATGTCAGGTGCCCCGTCTCTACCATCCACCTCTAGAACTTCACGTCTTCCTCCTGCTGAGTCTCTGTCCCCCAAGACATGTAACTCCCCTGGCACATGTTACCCTCTTCTTCCTGGGGGTCTGACACTGGGTTCCAGGGCATGGCACCCTTTGTCTGTTCCTGTGCCTGGCTTATGTCACTGCTTGCGCCTTCAGTGGCCCCTCAATGTTGGAACAGGACTCTGGCATTGGTATCTGTCTGTCACAGGGACACAGACAGGGTGCCTGCATGGCTCTCCTGGACCCGCTGGGTGCCACTGCTTCCGAGTCCACACCTCGTGTCCTTGTTGAGTTGGGCAGGGCTTACCCCTATGCTGAGGCTCACGTAGTTCCTCTTCCCCATTGCAGGACAATGGCAATTTCTTCACTTACACGGGGAGCGGCGGCCGAGACCTCTCAGGCAACAAGCGCACCGCAGGACAGTCCTCTGACCAGAAGCTCACCAACACCAACAGGTTTGTGGAAGAAGCTCGGCATTGTGCTGAGTGTGCTGGTCCCATGTGCTTCTCGTGTGGCAGCAGGTGATGGGGACACAGGTTCTCTATTTGTATCATGGTGGATCTCTGTTCTGGCCACAGTCCCAGCCATGGGTATCAGTTCCATCTCAGTCTGGAGGTGACATTCTGGGCAGGGTCCTCTGTATTCTGCTCTGCTGCAGTTAGGGTGTGGCTCGGCTCAGTCTATGGTTATTGCATCAGATCTTCCATCTCTAGTTTAGAGGGACAGGTTTTGTTACTGTAACAAGTCCTGAAAAGTGTGAGCCTATAGGGAAGGAAGGGCTCTGTTGCAGTGATGAACCCCTAGTTGATACACAGTACAGGTTTTGTTACTGTAACACATCCTGAGGCTGTTTGCTTAGCGCCCAGGTTTCCCTGCTGGGCTGTGTACCTGGGCTGTCTTGTGTTGGTTGAGCTGTTGTTTTGAGGCTCCTGCTAGGGGGCAGCACATGGCTGAAGTGTGTGGTATGTGGGCAGGGCATAAGAATGGAGAGGATACTGGAGTCCCACAATCCTATGCTAGTACCTGCGATGCTGCCAGGCCCACCCCGTAAAAGTTCCGTTCTCTATAGCTCTGCCCTGGGGACCTAGCCATCAACACAGGGACTTCTGGGGACATTTAAAGAATTATTTCATGTGTGTAATTGAGTGTTGTCTGCAGGTTTGCACTACTTGGGTGCAGTGTCCACAGAGGCCAGGAGGGCATTGGACCCCCTGAGTCTCAAGTTACGGATGGTGGTGAACCGCCATGTAGGTGCTGGGAGTCAGACTGGGTCCTCTGCCAGAACAGCGAATTCTCTAATCACTGCAGGTCCTTTTGGGGACATTTAGATCAGACAGTCACCTCTGGCAGCTTCGCCTATGCCAGCGATCTTGTCCTGTTGTCCTGTTGTGAGAGGTCCATGTATCTATGGATGCCAGGGTGTGCCTCTGGGGGGTGGACATGTTATGACTTCCCTAATGTGTGTTGTGTTTCCCCAAAGGGCTCTGGCACTAAACTGTGACAATGTCATCAGTGAGAAAGGGGCGGAGGCCAAGGACTGGCGCCAGGGGAAGCCGGTGCGTGTGGTCCGCAACATGAAGGGAGGGAAACACAGCAAGTACGCACCCGCAGAGGGCAACCGCTATGACGGCATCTACAAGGTGAGCTGTGAGCACCTGCCGTGTCCTCATGCCTGTGTCCCTGAAATTCCTGTGCCACACTGCCTACCAGCCACACTGTCTTTTCCGCAGGTGGTGAAGTACTGGCCAGAGAAGGGTAAATCTGGCTTCCTTGTGTGGCGCTACCTCCTTCGACGGGATGACACGGAGCCGGGGCCCTGGACCCGGGAGGGCAAGGACCGCATACGGCAGCTGGGGCTCACTATGCAGGTGTGTGGCCTGGAGGTCAGGGGTCAGGGGCTTCAGCTCTCCCTCTCTTAGGCTTGCTTCTATGAAGCTTGTTGCCCATCATGGTGGGAGCTGGGAGTGGGGACACCTATTCTGCTTGGCTTCCCAAGGCCCCTGTCTCCTTCAAACCAACTGCCAGAGTCAGGAGCAGTGGCCTAGGTCCTCAGAAGGCCGAGACCAGCCTGGGCTTTATAGCAAGACCCTCTCAACAAAACAAACACAGGGCTAGGCCTGCAGTTCAGTGGGTAGAACATTCTCTGCACAGTCTGCATTTTGTCCCCAGCACCAGGTAAATCAGGCACGATCAGGGGTTCAAGGCCAGCCTGGCTTACATGAGATCATGATCAAGAAACTCAAATAGGGGGCTGGAGAGAAGTGGCTCAGTTAAGAGCACTGGTTGTTCTTGCAGAGTACCACCACAGTTTGAGCACACCACCTGTCTGCCTCCACACTGTCTGTACACACCTGGTGCAGACACACTTGGAGGCAGCACACCATACACTGAAAAATAAGTCCAAAAATGACGTTTGTGGGTGGGTGTGGGCACACAGGTGACACACCCACCCAGTCACACATGCAGCTAATGGTTCTGCCCCTCCAACTTCCGACTTCCAACTCCTCCAGAATCAGCTGAAAGAAGCTACCAGAATTGATAGAAAACAGGCAGTGGGGTGTGGGGGGTGGGCAGGTAAGGATAGAGAGTTCCCAGCAGCCATCTCACCTCTTTTCATCCAGAGCTTTTCATCAATCACTTGGTGGATGCTTGTCCTAGGGCTCTAGTCAGGCTTCCATTGTGTTGGGGACTGACTATTTAAGGAATGTTACTGGCCTGTGGAACATGATGGCACCTGTCCCCAGTTGTTAAAGGACTACACTAAGTGTATAGCAGGAGTGTGTGTGTGTGTGTGTGTGTGTGTGTGTGTGTGTGTGTGTGTGTGTACGTGTGTACGTGTGTACGTGTGAGTGCGCACACAGGGTGAGGGACTGGAACAGGGTCAGTGGTAGGGCTGATGAGTTTAGTTTTTCTTGGTTTTTCGAGACAGGGTTTCTCTGTGACTTTGGAGGCTGTCCTGGAACTAGCTCTTATAGACCAGGCTGGTCTCGAACTCAGAGATCTGCCTACCTCTGCCTCCCGAGTGCTGGGATTAAAGGCATGCGCCACCAAGACCCGTCTGAGTTTAGTTTTTCTTTCTTGGTTTCTGATGTTCTTACTCTAACCTAGCTGGACTGTAACAACAGTCCTCCTCCCTTAGTCTCCTGGGTGCTCGGGTCACAGATGGGGTGCCACTACACCTGGCTTCATGTAGCCCAGGTTAGCCTTCAAGTTGCTACATAGCCCAGGATGACCTTTTAACTCCTGACCCTCTCTTGGGCTCTAGTGCAGGGTGACAGGAGTGTGCTATCACCCCTGGCTTTAGTTTTGGGTAGGGATCTTCCCCACATAGCCCAGGACTCCTCCCTCTTGGAAGCCTGGGCTATGTGGGGAAGATCCCTGCACTGTTACACCTGTCCCTCATGCTTGTCCAGTAATCCCATCAGGTGCCCAAGAGCTCACTGGGTGATGGCACTGTGACCCTGAAGGATGGACTGAGCCCTGACTCTTGTCCACTACCTCTCTCCCTTCAGTACCCTGAAGGCTACTTAGAGGCCTTGGCTAGCAAGGAGAAGAGTAGGAAGCGCCCAGCCAGGGCCTTGGAGCAGGCACCAACATCCTCCAAGACCACCATGTCCAAGCGGAAGACCACAGGTGGGTGCTTGTCCATCCCTGGCGCCTGGTCTGTTCACTAACACTGCTGGACTCACAGGCCTTGTTCTGTTCACCCCCCTCCCCCCAGGCCTGGCCAACAACACACAAGTGTCCAAGAAGAGCAAACTGGAGCCCTACACACTCCCAGTGCAACAGGCCAACCTCATCAAGGAGGACAAGAACAATGCCAAGCTGTGGGATGACGTGCTGAGTTCGCTTCAGGGTGGGCCGGTGAGCCATGGGTCCCCTCCCCCTGTGGGCAAACTGGGTTGCAGTCCATGTCCTAGCCTGTGCAACACTCCAGTGTGGCCTCACATAGCCCGTCCTTTTGGTGTGCAGCTGTCTCTGGAACTTTGCATGTCTCCACACTAAAGTTCTGTCCCCTTTTAACATTAATTAGCTTCTGGCACCCACCATCCTCTTCCTCTGTGGTTCTGATGACTCCAGGGACATCCTGAGAATGGGACCTGGAAGCTTTGTCTTTTTGTGATGGCTCTGGTCACTGAGGCTCATCTATGTTGGACACAGGGATATCAGAATACCTTTCCCTTTTCTGCTTGAATAATACTCCTCTGGGTAGACTACCTTCTCCAGTGGCTGTCCATCCATCAATCACTCAGGGTCATGTAGGCTGTAGTGTGCCACTGTGGCCTAGGTGCACACATTTCATTTAGCCCCTGCTGTGCTTGGCTTAAGTGTGTCCCAGGAGTGGGATTGTGTGTTGGTGAGAACCCATTAGAGCAGAGCATATACAGTGGGTCCCTGCCAGGATGTCTGCTCTCCTGTTGAGGCTAGCTTCCCTGACTCATACAGGGTCCAATGAGGTGAAGCCTCTACTCCTTAAGAACTGTGATTCCCATACAGTAGGTCCAGAGCTTGCTTATACATTTAGGGCCGAAAGCCGAGGCTCCGAGGCCAGGTCAGCTGCCCAGGGCTGTCACCCTGTGCTGTCTGCGGCCTAATGCCTCATTCTGCAGTGTCCTCAGTCTTTGCTGAGGCTCAAGGGGATTAGGGGTTTTTGTCTTGTGGCTGAGGCGAGAGTGATAGACATGTTTCCTTCCACACCCTTTCTGCAGTATCAGGTTTTTCTGAGCAAGGTGAAGGAGGCTTTCCAGTGTATCTGTTGCCAGGAGCTGGTGTTCCGGCCCGTCACCACCGTGTGTCAGCACAATGTCTGTAAGGTGAGGAGCAGGCACAAGGCTTGGGGAGCCACTCTCAACCCATGGCCTCCACTCTTGGGGTGTCATGGCTGTTGCCTCAGCCTTATGCTTCATAGAGACCTCAGGCCCCATAGACTCACCCTCTCCAAGACATTGCCAGGGACTACCAGTTAGGAGCTTGAGAGTCCTGAGTGGGTGCATGAGGGTCAGGAGGGAGCCCCAAGTGCCTTTGTGGCTGCTCCCAGCTGTCTCCTTCATGCTGCCCATGTCTCCTGCAGGATTGCCTGGACAGGTCCTTTCGTGCCGAGGTGTTTAGCTGCCCAGCCTGTCGCTGTGACCTAGACCACAGCTCCCCAACCCGGGTGAACCAGCCTTTGCAGACCATTCTCAACCAGCTGTTCCCTGGCTATGGCAGTGGTCGGTGATGCCACGAACCAGGCAGAAGGCCCTCAACACTTCTCCGAGTTCGTAGTGGGCTTAGTTTGGAGGTGTTGTCCTTCTACGTCTGCTCCTGGCGACCCGTCCGCCTTGCTCACCAGTTAACCAGGCATCTGCAGGAACCCCGTGTTCTGGCTACCAGTTGGACCTCTGTTATTTCTCTCTCTCTCTCTCTCTCTCTCTCTCTCTCTCTCTCTCCTTTTCTTTTTAATACAAAGCCTGCAATTCTCCCAGAGAAGGGAAAAAAAGAAACCTGCCTTTTTCTTTGAAGATGAATTTAGAAACTGTTCAGCCCCGTACCAGACCAATGTCATGTTGTCGGGAGTTCTCACCCAAACCAGCTTCCTAGAACAATCCTGCAACCATCTTTGAAAAGATATTTTCCCAGCAGCTGGCAGCTGCGGCCTAATGAGTGCATCCCTTGGGCCTTTGCAGAAGATCTGGAGAGGGCCCTAGGCTAGCCTCATCCCTGGCCTCAACTATCCTCACGGGGGTTGCCTCTGGGGCCTAGCTGACACTACCTCAGCAGGACTTGACTGGCCTCAGGCTAGGGCACCAGCTGAGGCAAAGCTGACCTAGTGCCTTTGGCTCATTGCCCTTCCCCACTGTCTTTAGCACTGAATTGTCGGATGCCTGCCTTGGAAGTCTGGCTGCTGGGGTGCTCACTGGCTCTGGGTATCGTAGAGGTTTGAGGTGTAGTGACCAGTTCTCATCTTGTTTTTGTTTTTTTAATGGGATGAATAGTTTTCCTTGATGAATTTCTTTTATAGTTACAGCCTGTACTGAGGAAGACTGTGACTGCATGTTTTGTTTTGTTGGTTGGTTTTTGTTTTGTAACTTGTTACTTTACCAAAGTGTGCAGGCCATACCTCAGTAGAACATGGAAACTGAACACGTAACCAACCACAGGCAGACTGGACAGCACTGTTTTAAGGGTCATGGCTTTTGTTAGATTGTTAGGGGAAAAAAAAATGAAATTCCATGTGTTCATGTGGATGTTTTCTAAAGTTCAATATTTTTTTGTTCAGATTTTAGATCTCAATAAATTTTTTTCTGCAGATATATTTGAATATTTGTGTTTATTTGTTTTTGAATTTGTGGTGCTGTTATGAAAATGAGTTGACTGATGAAACAATTGGCATAAGGGCACTCTGATGTCCAGGGCACACACAATTCGGTTGTTCAGACAGCTGTTCACTCCTACATGTTGGCTCTTTTGCTACAATCAGCACCATCCAGTAGGTCAGAGAGAAACTCCATAGTCCTGAAAGCAGAGAACAGTATCATCCTAGCCTTTGACTGTTTGCCGGTTCCTGTTCTGGAAGGTTCTACCATGGTACAGATGGCACTATACATAGGTTTGTAGGAAACCTGATGTTGAAGATGAACAGGGAAAAGTGCTAACTTGGGAGACTATAGTCCCTGGTCATGGTGGGCGGAGGCTGCTTCTGTGGTTTCTGGTGTGGCTGGCCTGCCTGCATTTGTCACAGGCACTGCAGGCTGCAGAAGGGTCTGGGCTCCTGTAGAGGGGTGGGTGGGTAGATGGGTGGGCTGGGGCATGCCTCCTATCTATAGCACAATAGGTTGCTCAGAATGGTCTCAGGAGTGTCAGCTGCTGGTCTCAAGCCAAGGATAAGTCTGCTGTAAAAAAAAAAACAAAAACAAAAAACTTACACTTAAGGGGTTGAAGAGTTCAGAGCACTGGCTGTTCTTGCATTTGATGCCCAGCACCCACATGGTGACAAAACAACCCACTTGTAACTCCAGTTTCAGGGCATTTGATGCCCTCTTTTGGCCTCTGCAGGTATGCACACAAAATGTGCAAGTAAAACACCCATGCACATAAGTCTTAAAATTTAAAACAGTGCTAGTGACCTTTGGAAGTACATTTTCACCATGTGGGACCTGGGGATGGAACTTGGGTTGTTGCCTTTATGTACACAGGGAACCCTCTCACCAACAACTAGGTTACCTTTAAGGAGCATGGGGTGGGGGGTGGGGGAGATAGCTGGGTGTCGTACAATATGCCTGTTAGCCTGTATTTGGGTGGCAGGAAGATCTTGACTTCAACATTAGCCTGGGCTACATAGTTACACCCTGTCTCAAAACCAAAATATGCTGGGCATGGTGGTTCAGGTAGATCTGTGAGTTCAAGGCCAGTCTGGTGGACAGAGCTGTGTTCAGGACAGCCAGGGTTACACAGTGGAACCCTGTCTCAGAAAAAAAAATCCAAAACACAATGATTCTATCCTTAGCATGAAACAGCGAAAGGCTGACCTGGAAGTCGGGTGTACTTCTCTTTCTCCAGTGCTACAATCGAGGGCACGGGCCACCACTTAGAAGATTTTTAGAAAATTTTAATCATATGAACATGTGAGTGGGTGCCTCTGGAGACTACAGGTGTTGGGTACCCTGGAGCAGGAGCTGGTTGTAAAGCCACTTGTCACAGGTGCTGGTGTTTAAACTCTGGGACAGCAGGACAGACACCATCTTAACTGCTGAGCCACCTTCCCAGCTGAGGCAAGTGTCTGTACCACTCTGTAGACAGGAATCCCTAGGGCAGAGCAAATTGAATAAAAGCCACTCCTAATTAAAAACAACTATGGGTCCTTCACATAGGTCATGTGCCCTTGAAAATATGGTGGCGGACTAATATGGCTCAGTGGTTAAGAGCACTGACTGTTCTTCCAGAGTACATGGCTTCCAATTTCCAGCACCCACATGGCAGCTTACAACCATCCGTAATGAGATCTGGTGCCCTCTTCTGGCCTGCAGGCATACATGCAGGCAGAACACTATACATATAAAATAAATTAAAAAAAAAAAAAAAGCAGATCTTGGTGATGGCTATATATGATTCTCTTCCTTTGCACTGAGTTTGTGTGTGTGCCCATGCAGGCAGATGTGTACCATCTGTGGAAGCTGAGACAAAGGACTCTTCACCGTGTGGGGGGCCTAGATGGACAGCTTACTGAGCTGTCTCACCTGCTTGTTCAGACAGGGTCTCATTGTGTAGCCATGGCTGTCCTGGATCTTGCTCTGTAGACTCAGAGATCCACCGGCCTGTGTCTCCCAGTCAGTGCTGCGATTAAAGAGTGTGCCACCCTTGCTTAACTGAAGAGACAGACTGGCCTCCAACTCTACAAATTCAGGATGACCATGAGTGCAGGGTGATGACAGGCATGGTAATGGTTGTTTCCCTTATAATTGTCCACAATGAAGAACAAGGAAAAAAATTCAAGGGCCATCCAGCTTGGAATAATTTATGCATAACCTTGGGAGTTAGTGAATGAAGGGGGGGGCGCAAATATCTTGCTCTAAGAAGGGTACTTTTCAGATATTAGATGGTAAAATCAAAGGACTTCTAGGCACACCTTCACCCTTGCTTGCTCAAGTATAAAAGAAATAACAATGGTGGACCAGCAAGCTGGCTCAGTGGGTAAAGGTGCTTGCAACCAAGCCTATCAAACTGAGTTTGATCTTGGTACCCAGATAGCAGGAGAGTTAACTCTCAAGTGGCCTTCTGACTTCTACAGGGCATATACACACAAAATAACAAGCATTTAACACTACAAATGCACACTGGTGGGGATGATATTAGACCTTAATAAATGCTCCATAGAGCCACGGCTGTAGCTGGAATCTGGGTGCCCAGCTCCCAGTTTGAAATACTGAGCTGGAGGGAGCAGAACCGAGGAAAATCGAGAAATAGAGAAAAGAATCTCTCATTGAATTATTGCAAAGTTCTCTGTGGGTATCGCTATCATTTCATGGTGGGAAACAAAGGCCCAGTTAGGTGACTTCCCCAGAGGCACGGCCCCAGCTGAACTCACGCACGTTACAGGGGACGGCGCTTTGGGGACACTCTGTACCCTAGTTCGGGTGCTGAGGGCTCAGCACAAACCTGTGCTCAAATCACAGCTCCGGGTCTTGATCCACCGGGTCTCGAACCACTGTCTCTCTGTTCTCGGACCCGGTGCTGATGTTGTGCCGGGTATCACGTACTCAACAGCCTCCTGATAACAGGGCGGGGTCCGGAGCAGCAAGACAGTGATTGACGTTCAGTCCTAACCAATCGGTGCCCAGAGGCTGTACCAAACACCAATCGGCGCTTCTCTCAGCCGGGTCCTGAGAACGCGCTTGTCAATCTGCCTGCGCTCCGTGCTATACTAGACCCGACCTCTGTCGGATTGGCTGCGTGTCTTTTGACGAACGTGCTGGATACCCACTGAGAGCTTAGCCGGTCACCGGGCACGTGAGTGGGTGCCGGAGCGTCCTCGTAGTTGGACCAATGAAGGGAAGAGGTCGTGCTCCTGAGCCCGCCCCAGGTCGTGGAGGGCGGGGCCGTGTGGTGTTGATGGGGGGAGGGGCGGAGCTGTCAGCCTTCACCAGTAAGCGTGCGGGCGTGGGCTGGCTGTCCAATGGAGGCCGAGGAGGGGCTGTCGCCCCGCCCCCTTAAGCTTCGCCTCCCCGCCCTAGGCGCTTGCTGAGGGCTCGGCCGCGAGCGAGCGAACGATCGAACCAGCGAACGAACAGGGCGAAGGCAGAAGCCCAGCGGCCTGAGGGAGCGAGCGAAGCCCGGCGGGGGCGACGCGACGCGGCTGAGCGCGCGCCGCTCAGCCCGCTGTCCACACTCGGGGCCGCGCGCGCCGCGCCAGGTGAGTGTGCGATCGGCGGCGGAGCTCCGCAACTTCCACGCCCCTCCCGGGGGCCGCGCAGCCGCCATGCCTGCCCCCGCGCCGCGCCTCGCGGCCACCGCGCATACTCTAGGCCGAGGCTTCGGCTGCGGCCTACTCGGCTCCGCGGGGCGGTGGGGTACGCCGGGCTTTTGTCCGCTCGGACGAAGCTGCTGTGTGTTGATCGACAAAGCGATTGTGTGCCTGGGAAAGGAGGGTGTGTTTTTTTTTGGGGGGGGGGACGATGGGGCCGGACAAAGGCGGGGCGGGGGCGGGGCGCCGCGTCCCCTTTCCAGGGCACAAAAGATGACAGCGTGGGTGGCCCGGTCCAACTATCCCTTTAGCATCTCCAAGTCCTTAAAAATAAGAAAACCCACTCCAAGCCCTTGCTCCCCCCACTTGCATTTTGGTTCCCTTTAGGGGACACTAGTGCTGTCCCCTCCAAACACCCCATCCATCATGCCTTCCAAACTTGACCCCCTCTTGTCCCAGAATCCCTAAATCACCATGTAATCTGCATTTTTTTAATTTAAAAGAAAAATAGTGCACGTATCTGCTGTTGCAATGGCAGCATTCCTACCTCGCATCCGTCCCCAGGTCCCTCTGCCTTCCAGCCCCCTTCTCTCTGTAAAGCCATGAATTGTGCAGTTGCCTGCATGCACACCCGTCCAGGGCGTCCCCGGCAGACAGCCCCTGTTTCTGCTTCCCGGGAAGCCAGCAGAGCCGGGGACACATGGGCATGGTTTTTCTACCGTAGTGTGATGGGGGTTTCTGGGGGATCTGCTGGGCGGCTTCGGTGGACCAGGTACAAGTATGAGTGTCCCGGTTTGCAGATTTGATGGTGTAACCGGTGTGCTTTGGGCATTGCCGGTCCTGGGCGTCCCCTTGTCCCATCTGTCTGACTGGGGGAGGGGAACGGATGGCATCGCTTTAATAATTCAGTAACACCTGGGGAAGTGTCTTGCCCGAGTTGCTAGTTTTTTCAACTAGCAGGAGGGTGGATTCTGTAACATGTTTCAAAAAGCAAAAAGACGTGTCTTTCCCTGTGTGCAAGTGGGGTTTGCTCAACCTGCCGCCTGCAGCCTGGTGCCTGCACCTTCTTAGGCTCTGAGGATCTTGGTTGCAGAAGGTTCAGGGCCCCGGGATGTCTCTGTGTCCCAGTAGTTGTGTATCTGACAGTCCCCGGACTGGAGTCTGCACCGTCCCCAAACAGCTCTTGCCTCAAAATGGGCTCATTAGGTGGGTCTTCAGAGGTTTTCTCCCCCACCAGCAAAGGGCTAATCACTCTCTTTAATTCTGTGGTAATTGCTGCCTTCAGAGCCACCAGGAGGGCGTGTCCCCAGACAGGGCCAGTGTTTTCTTTCCCACCCTGAACTAGCAGCAGACAGCTTTCCTCGTCCCCTTTCTTTTTTCCCCAAACCTGTGGATGCCCTGTATCAAAACTTGCAAGGTCCCTTTGGAAGACACTGGGTGAGTTTCCATGCACTCCCTGGAAGGGTATAAAGCCCGAGGCAAGAGATTGGGTTGCCCAGATTGCCATAGGGTGTTTTGCTGTTTGGGGTAGAAGTGTTCCTGTACCAGGTGTTCTGTGTACCTATGTGTGTATTCAGGTGCACCTGTGAGTGTGTGTGTTCGGACCTGGGAATGTACAGGTCTAAGTGACAAGTGGTTTTCTAATCTTTTTCTCTCAGGGTGATGACTGCTCAGGAGACATCCCAGTACACAGAGGGGTCTCCAGAGATGCAGTCACTGTCCCCAGCCCATAGCCTGTTTCCTTCCCCATCCCAGGGGCCCTCCATGCTTTCAGCGTACCCAGCCCTGACCTAGACTTCAGGTCTTTGCTCCCCCTCCTCTGCTGGGCTCTGGCCCCCTTGTTTTGCCCTCCCCTTCCCATGTTGTCCTGGGAGCCCCAGCGCTGGGGAAGCCATCTGTCCCTGTGCCATTTGATACCTGTGGGGAGTCACCTGGCCCATCAGTTGGCAGGTTGTGCAAAGCCTCACTCCAGGGGACTGGGGCTCATTGGGAGTGCTGGGAGGAGGCTGATTGAGCCAGTCCAACACCCACAGGTCACATGTGGTGAGGGGCAGAGGTGTGGGCCACAGGATACTCCCGATGGTTGTCTAACCATCTGGAGGTGGGGTGGAGAGTTCAGGGCCTGGTGGCCTTGGGCTTGTCACTTGCTCCAGAACCAAGGTCAGAACCACCAGTACTTACAAACCTCCTAGGAGCAGGGGGCGGGAGCAGACTGTAGCAGATGGCCAGCCTCTGGAGAGACCTGTCACCACAGGGCCTGGGGGTGGGGTCCTGGGCTCCATCCACCATCTTGAAGTTCAAATCATGCATGGTGAAGTTCCAGAGGTCCTGCAGGCAGGTAGGTGTCTTTCCTGCTCTGTCCAGCATCCTGGCTCCTTTTCTATCTGTAGAGTGGGCGCCCAGCATGCTCTTGTCCTCAAGTGGCCTTGAGGGTCAAGGGCAAGGAGCCGGGAGCTTGGAAGTCTTCTGCTCTGCTCCACTGTCCCCATTGGCTCAGTCTACTGTGGCCAGGTCACCCCTGGAGTGGGCATTCAGGATACTTGATGTGTAGCTGGTCCTCATCTCCACATGAGATCTGGGGCTTGGACTTCAGCCCTGTACATCCACCTGCCTCTTTGTCCCAGCTCCCTCCTCCCTCCCCATCCCAGTGCCTAGTGGTTCTGTTTGCTCCTGTTGCCCACTGGCCCTGTCTCCTGTCCAGGCCTGTGATTGCACAGTCGGGATTTGCCTGTGACCAGCCTTGGCTCCCCACACCCACCCTGTGCAGGTCCCATTCTGCAGCCTTGGGTCTGTGGAGGCGGCACTGATACCCATCCCTTTGCTATACCCCGTCCTGTTGCTTTGATCAACTTGCCACTAATCAAATTGGGTTGACTCATTTCTTTAATCTTGGTCTTCTCCTCCACAATGATGCCTCTGAATTTGTGGGGGTGTTCCTGTGCTGGCTGCTTCGGGGAGGGTAACAGGAACCCAGTGACTTGCTAAGCCTTAAAGTAGTGTCCAGCAAGGCGGGTCACAATGGTGAGGCCTGAGACCCTGGCTCCACCCCAGTGTCACAAAAATGACTTTAAAGTAATGAATTAATTTTTAAAAAGACGTCTCCGATGAGTTGGTTTTCTATTCACCCCCATTGGGTGTGGCCTGCTCTGGGACCCTCTTCTTGGCTGGATAAGGTGTCAGGGGCTCTGCCATTTTCCAACCTGCTGTGTCCTTTCCAGTGGGGACAGAAGAGCATGAGACATCACTACCCAAAGTCACTCCAGAAAAGTAAAGTCTACTAAAAAGTGAAGCTTTGGGGCTGGGGCTGGGCTGAGTGAGCACACTGCATGCCTAAGCATGTGCTCAGCATTGGGTTCCAACTGGGTATGGATCCTAGCACTCAGGATGGTAGAGGCCGGAGGATGCAGAGTCCCAGGCTAGCCTGGGATACATAGAGTGACCCTGTCTTGAAACACAGCCACAAAACCATGGCCAGGAAAAAGGCTGCTGTGCAAGTGGAGGCCCAAGTTCAGATATGAGCACTCACATAGAACCAGCCATTGCAGGTGTGCCTGCAGCCCCAGCGTGCACCACAGGAAGCTGGAGGCAAGAGGGCCTCGGGGCAGCCAGCCTGGGCCAAATGATGAGCTCCATCTTCAGCATCGACCAGGAAAATAAGGTTGAGGGTGATGGAGGACACCCATGTTGACCTATGGCTTCTACCACACATGTATAACACCCCCCTCCCTGCAAAAAAAAAAAGCCACAAAGAAACAAGACTAGTGTGTGGGGGTGAGGCTCAGTGAGTGCTCACCTCACACGTGTGAGGTTGAGGTCCTGGGTTCACCCTAGCACCAGTTAGATGACAGCAGGGGCATAGCTTCCTAGTTTGGGGTGACCATTCCTGTGGTGTAAGAGCACAGCAGCCTTGTATATAAATCTATCTTTGGGCTTCGTGGGGTCCCTCTCCCCTGGTAACATGTCATAGGCACCCTAGCCTCTGTCTGGGTCAGTGTCAATGGCTGTCACTGTCACCCTTAGAGATGGCTTCTGCCGCCACCTAGCAGGAGAGGTAGCTTCTACTGAAACTCTAGGTGAGGGCCACTGTCCTGGGTGCCTGTCTAACTCATGTTCACAGATTTCACTTTTGCTGTGTCTGTCTGCCCCTGTCCCTTTCCCTCCCCAGTAGTGTCAGCCCACACAGCTTTGGGGACAAGTCCCTGTCAAGCCACCCATGCCCTGTGGGCCCATGGTCTTTTATGTTTTTGTTTTTTAATTTCCCTATGTGTGCACTGGTGTCAGACAAGCTAAGGTATGAATCCTTGCTTCAACTGTCTCGGGACAGAGCCTCTTGTCTCCCAGTGCACACACTAGGGCAGCTAGCCTTCCAGCTCTTGTCTCTGCCCAAAGCTCACATGTCACACACCTGGCTTTCTGGGGATTTGAACTTAGTTCCACACAGTTGTATAGCAATCACTTTACCCACTGAGGTATCTCCCTGGTCCCTGGTCCCTAGATGTCTTCCTGTCCCCATCTCCCCACAGTACTGGGATCACAGGCCTGGCTCTGTTAGGATTTCTGGGGATTCAAACCCATGTCCTCATGCTTACACAGCAAGTTCTTTATCCTGGCCATCCTGGCCCAGACTGTGCCTCTTACTGATACCCGAGTGCCAGGCTGGTCCTCCCTGGATACTGGAGGACAAAGAGTAAGTTTGTAAAGCATGCTCTGGTGGCTCTCAAGCTCAGAAGGAAGCACAGCAGACTGAAGCCTTAACTTGTGGGCCCACCTGAGTGGCAGCTTTGTCTGTGCATGCTGCAAGTGAAACTCCAGGGCACACTCCAGCTACAGTTCTTTTCCATGGTAGGCTCCAGGCACTAGGCTCCTTTGGTGCCAAGGCTAGCCCCATCCCAGGGGATGGGGCATGGAGCCAGGTGACTTTTTGCATGAGGGCTGTGGGGTGGTGGGTC